AAAAAAAAAAAAAAAAAAAAAAAAAAAAAAAAAAAAAAAAAAAAAAAAAAGAAAAAAAAAAAAAAAAAAAAAGCCTTGCGGCCAGAAGAGGAGTGAATAGCTCATCACTCATCTGGATCAGACACATCAGGATGCCGGCCGGTTTAACTGGATACGCGCTGCTAATTTCCCAATTAAAGCAGAGGTGGGCGCCTCCAGGGGTTGGGGACGGCGCTGCCTTTGTGGCGAAGCGGCGTCGCCTCGCCCGCCGCGCTGTTGTGTCCCCCGCCGGCCGCCGTCGTGGCGCCGGTGCGCGCGCGTGGCGGCGCGGGCGGGGCGCGATGGCGGAGCCCGGGAGAGCAGGGGGTGAGCGGCGGGCCCGGGGCCGGGCGGGGGGGGGATCTCTCCCTTTTCCCTCTCCTCCTTCTCCCTCCCCGCCTTCTCCTTCTCGCTTTGCCCTTCCCAGGCGGCTGACCCTCGCCCCCGGGCTGCTCCTTGCCCGGCCTTTCCCTGGGAGCTCTGGGTGGGCCCGTCTGGGTGGTTGTGCCTGTGTACCTACGCACACTCATATACACGCGTACACGTGTGTACGAAAATATATGTAATGCTTGGTGTCGCTGTGTATTAACGCTGCGGTTTTCTCCTGACCCGGGATTTCATTCCCGGGCTTTACCGGAGGCACCTGTGGGTCAATAGAGGGAAAAGAGCAGCGTCCTCTTCCCCCTGGATGGAACCGTTCTCTGTGTGGAAATGTTTCCCGTGGTATGTGCAAGGAGGTTGAGCAGGGGTGACCGAAACAGGCTGGTGCAAGGGGAGTTCTATTTGTGTCAAGGCGTTAAACCCGCTTTTATTGTGATGTGGGGGTTTTTTTATTATTTATTTATTTTTAATTTTTTTATTTACTAGCATTCATTTTGTTAAAGAGAAATGTGAAGTTCTGTAGGTGCAGCTTGGCACTGTGAGAAGAACCCACTAACTTCTAGTTTTGTTTTTGCCTCTGATTTCAGTCAATCTGTCGGAATAGCTGCGGGAATCTGTATTTAATTATTTATTTATTTGCTTCTTCCTTGTGTATTGAACTAGTGCAGACATCAAGTTATCTATTTTAAAACGACTTTGCAGTGTTTGTAATTGAAAAAAAAAAAGTTGTGGATGGCTTCACCTAATATTTACTGTTAATCTCCTTTCTTTCTTTCTTTCATTCATTCAAAATATTAAACTCCCGATTGAAGACTGAAGTCTGGAGAAGGTCTGAGATAACTTAGAGACATGTGACTTGGACAAAAATAAAAATAAAAGAAGGACAAAAAGATCAGTACCTCTGCTCTGGGGATGGGGAAAATGCAACTCCTTTTCCCACCTTGCCAGCCAGACAGCGTGTGTTGCCAGTCAGATGAGGTCACACTGAGCAGGAAACATATTTCTGCAAAGGGAGGACAGATGCTTCTTGGACAATGACATGAACTGATGGTTTTCTGTCTTCTGGTTTTGCTCCTTCATGCCATGTCTGTTTTTCTTTTCTTTTTTTTTTGTTTTTCCCCCCCACAGGATTCCTATCCAGGAGGATTTAGACCTTGCTTAAAAAGGTAGGAGTTTTAGTTTGGCTGTGTTCTTTCTTTTGTGGGCCACTGGAATAAGCTGAGCTTATTTGCTTTGCCAGATGCTCCATTATATTGGATATTTTTCTGGAAGAGAGAAAAGAACAACAAATTAAAACTTTTGTTCCCTCCCATGTATTGTTGTTAATATTACCTATTTGTACCTCCTGTCACTGGTATAAAATAGTGTAAGAGATGTCACCTCTCCCTCATACTCTTCATAGCTGGACTTTTCACAGCTATTTATTTTTTTTCATCCTTTGCTGCATTATTTTATGGATCCTGAGATTTTTTATCTAGATGAATTTAAGCTAAATGCTTAAATAGCTTAAAATTTAAACTATGCTTAAATAGCTGTGGCAGGTGTATCCTCTCTGTGACATCCTTCTACACACATGTTAATGATTCACGTTACATGAAGTTTTATTTTGAAGTATATTTTGAAAGATTGACTGAAGGACACAAAATGGAAAGCTGTTTAACTTCTTACATTCTACCATAATTCATTTGCAACATCTGGAAATATCTTTATGCCAGTAGCGAATCTCCTGTTCCTGAAATCTGGGTTTAAAGAAATTGAGGCCTTATTTGTTTTGTTCTTCACTGTCAGTTAGTAAACTCTGTGAAATGCCCTTGCATAATTTCCTTTGTAAACTGTTGAGATACATAAAAACCCAAGTTTCCAATGATGCATCAGACTATATTCTAATTAAGAGTTAGTTACACACAGCACAGTATGAGATGTGTAATTAACTTTTTTATAGGCTCTTTTAGCAAATAATTTTTTTTTCAAGTTCCTGAAAACTAATCTGAATCTTGACATCTGCTGGGAGGATATATACGCTTATGTATTTACTTCCTTGTGGAAAATATAATTAGATTCTAGTGATCTTTTAGTATATTATACTAGCTGTATTATAATCTGTTTATTTTATGTTGGCTAGGTTTAACATCTTGTACCTGAAGATAGAAATTTTTATTTTCCTGCCCTGATGAATGAAGTAGTTCAGATGAAAAACCTGAGGGATCAGGAGTTCTAGAAACAGTTTGGTTTGTTTTCATAAAGACTGTGAAGACATATTGTCTTCAGGAAATACCATGCACCTGTTTTCAGCACACAAATAAAAAGAGCCAGAACAGCCTCTGAAGCAGGAGCTTAAATTCTGTATTTTTCCTTCTTCTTCTGTGATGTGAGCAGAAGCATATCCAACACATAATATGAACTCATTATTATATGCAGTAGATACTGGGCCTTGGGGTTGTATTCAAATACTTGCTAATGCCTGCCTTGTCTAACGCTTCTTGAAGATGCCTGCTGCCTGTGATTCAGTGCTTGAGGATATTGAAGACATTGTCTCAGCAGAAGATGTGAAACCCCACGACCGGCAGTTTGTGAGAAGGAATGTTTTTCCAAAAGTGCGAAAACGCAGTTCACAAAAAAGTGTTCAGACAGAAGATGATCCCCCAAGTGACAGGTAAAGTCTTGCATCGACCCTATCGTGTTACTTTTCTTGCAGCTTGTACGTACTGTCAGCTTCTAAAAATAAGGTGAAAGTTCTCACTATCTCATAAATCTGAACAGAGGATAAAAAAATGAGCAGAATAGTCTTTATAAAATGTAGGGAGAATAAGTAATAAGTCCTAAGCAAATTTATTTTCCTAGGCAAATTTTCTGTGCTGCAAAAGGGTTGAGGTTGGAAGGTCATCTTGTCCAAACCCCCTGCCCGAGCAGGGCCACCAAGAACCAGTTGGTCAGGACTGGCTTTTGGACAAGATAGTTCTTGGATATCTCCAGGGATGGAGATTCTGCAACCTCCCTGGTTAACTTGTGCCAGTTGCTGGTCATAAAGTGAAGTTCTTAAAGTGAAAAAGGCATTTCCAGATGTTCAGAGGGGACTGCCTGTGTTTCAGTTTGTGCCTGTTGCCTCTGGTCCTGTCACTGTGCACCGCTGAAAGGAATCTTGCTCTGCCTTCTTTACATTCTTCCTTCGGGTATTTATATACTTTGGTGAGATCTCTCTGGGCCTTCTCCAGGCAGAACAGTCCCAGCACTCTCAGCCTTGCCTCATATGAGACATGTTCCAGTTCCTTAATGGCCTTTTGTTGGACTGTCTCCAGTACATCCATGTTTCCCTTGTGGATGCATTCTGTCAGTGCCCAGGGACTTATGCACGCCCAGTTTGCTGGAGTATTCCCTGACCCGGTCCTCTTTAACAAAGGTAACATCTTCCTTGCTTGTCCTTGAACCTGGGATTTCCAGAGGCTGTACTTTTTGTGTGTACGTCCTGCAAGTGAAATGGTGAAACTTCTTTTGAACTTGCTGTTTTATTTCAGTGGAAATAGCATGGAATAACCATGGAACGTATCTTTGCGTTTTTCCTGCTTAAGATTCCCCACAGGAACAGAATCAGCTTTCTGCTGCAGTGGAATTGATTAGAGTATAGGTCAACTCACCTATTGATTCCAGTTTCTACTGCATTTCTGAGA